CCTCCCCCCCTAACACCCCCACCTCCCTTTCCCCCCCGACTTCCCAGAGCCAGTACACGGTATAGATTTTTAACAAACACAGTCTAAAATATATTAAGACAGAGGAAATAAAAAAAAGAAGTTAATAACATCTCTGCATTGAACTCAGCTTCTTCCTGTTGCACTAACTTTGAGCCAATATCCTTATCGACACACTTCCATCATTATAAAAGAATAACATGTCAAAGAATCTTCTTCAATTTTTGTAAAAGAAAAAAACATAACTTTTTAATACTTCCTATCATGCCTTCTGCATGCTATTAAATTTAAGTAAGTTAGAATACAAAAATTCCTTTTATTTCTTGTAGTTTTTAGGGTTAAGCGGGAGCAGCACAATGTAGCAAAAATGATTGAACTCAACTTATTCAGAAAGCATTTTGAAATATGCAGTTTTTATTAACTGTAAATTATTTTTTCCTCTCTCCTCTCTCTACCACCTTCTCTTTCTCAAAATAGATTTATAAATTATATAATCAACTTTTATCTATATATGAATCTTCTTGCAGCAGGATTAAAATACTGTTGCTATGGTAAATGCTAGGAGAAATAAGAGCTAGTAAAACTTTTCTGATAACTCTTTAACAAAAATGAATATGTTGTAATTTCTAAGTACTTACGATAAGGAGGCTCCATATAACCATTTCTGGGGTCCATGGCAAAAACTGCCCCACGATAAGGTAGTGAAGGCTCAGGAAGGTATGGTACAGATCCATGGATCTCCTTTTTGATTAAAGAAGCCCTTTCTTCACTAGATGTGGAAGGTTCTTCACTGATTTTACTGAGGCCTTGTCCACTTTGTGGCTGCATTGTAATTGCGTTTCTTCTCTCTCTGTGATAGGTTGGTCCAGGACTTTCATCGTCTAGGGAGAAAAAGACAATTTGGGGAAGAAAGAAGTGAAACTTTTAAACTAGCTATGGCATTCAATCAAAGTTTTCTTTACAAGTTTTCCCACCCCTTTAACGAAGCAAGCACGTTTGTGGTTAAGGAGAAAGTTTCCTAAAAAAGAAAAAGTGAAGGAATCGAAACGATTAAGTGCAAGTTGGATTTACACTGGAGAGCATCTTCAACCATACCTTAATGCATTTACCAGAGAATCCATTAATCATGCAGAAATACTGACTTGTTCCCCCCACACCACATTTCTGGGACAAGAAGGCTTAGAAGTTTTTTTTTTGGGGGGGGGGGGAACAATTTGTCACAAATCACAGAAGACCCCTGCTAGCAGAAACTAAATCAAGCTTAGCTACCTACTGTGCTTTATACTTCCCAGCATGGTCCTTCATATCCAAAAAGAAGAGATTGTCAGAAACAGAAACCTCCTTGCCATTAAAAAAAAATATAGTTATTACATTTTTGAAGAAATGAAGAACTTCTAATAAACGTGTATTGAACATATGAAACCACAGAATTTGGGAGCAGAAAAGTCACACAATCAGCATTTACTACTTGAAAAGTTATCTTAATACGTGCCTCAACGCATATTTATGAACACAGATCATAATACATGGTTGGCAAGTGTAGATCCAATTCAATTCAATCAATATTCTTTTTCTAGAAACATTGTAACTTTATATTCTCAAGTATCACATCTGTCCATGGAAAACAAGAGAAAGCAACAGACTTGACAAAGTTTACAAATTTGCACTAGAATTCATAGCAGAATGGTTCTGAAAGATCCCAATTAGATAACTCTCAATATATAACTCAATTAGAAAGTGGAGTATGTTTTCCCCAGCTAAGAGAAACAAACTGCTTACCACATTCTATTTCTCTTTCAGTGGCAGCACATCTCATTGCAACACTTAAAAGAAACAAGATTAATACAGGTGGCTTGTTTTCATGCTGACATTTTAAAATGCTAGCAACCTCTCTAAAATGCTTCTTAGATATCTGCAATGAAGTTTTCGTCTTTAACAAAAGGCAATTCCCATTTCATATAGTTGAAAATACATTTAAGACATTTTCAATATTCATCTAAAATATAAATCAGCAAAATTATTTATAAATATAATCCATCAAATCTGGGAATTATAGTTGCCTACAGTTCTTAGATCAGTGAATATCTGTAAAATATGTTTACATAAGTTTCATATACTATTACTACTATATAATGTGTGAAATTGTCAATTGTATTTTTCGGAGTATAAGATGCACCGAGTTTAAGACACACCAAGGTTTTGAAGAGGCAAATTTTTTAAAAAAAAGTTTTTGCATTCTGCAAACCTCCCCAAAACAGCTCATTTTTCATGAAAACAGGCCTGGTTTTTTGTTTTTTTTTTAAAAGGGCATGAATAGCCCTTAGGCGGCTTGTAGAGTGCTCCGGGGGGGGGGGGGACAAAACGAGCAAAAAATGGGCCAGTTTTTTGTCCAAAAATGTGCATGGATAGCCTTTAGGAGGCTTATAGAGTGCTTCTGGGGGCTGGGGGGACAAAACGAGCAAAAAATGGGCCAGTTTTTNGGGGGGACAAAACGAGCAAAAAATGGGCCAGTTTTTTGTCCAAAAATGTGCATGGATAGCCTTTAGGAGGCTTATAGAGTGCTCTTTAGCAATGCCATTAGTTTTCAAAGAAGACTGAAAGGTGTTTAAGCATTAATTCTCTTGGATTGAAAAGCTGGTCCTGAAAAGTACAAGTAAAAGCAAATAAATCCAAGACTTTTTCTTTATTTGATACATCCAAGAACCTTTTTGTAAATAACAAAACTGCAATGAAATATCTAATATGCTTAGAAATAAAATAGACTGCATTAACCCTACTCTCTAATTTAATATTTTTTCATAATGTACCCTTTGCATTTTATCCCAAATGTTCACAAGCAAGATCTATTTTCCTTTGGAGATGGAAAAAAATGGAGAGAAGTCTATAATATTCAGAAAGTTTTCACATATTTTAATCAGGCAAATTTAGGTTAAAACACTGTGCTAAGTTATCTTAAGTGTTTAACTTAAATATGCTACAAAAGCTGTGGAGTTATGTTTAACCCTTACTCAATTTACCTCATAGTATAATATACAGGTAAACCATTACTTTGTACTGAGTTCATCCTATCCAAACAACTAACATTTACTAAGAACTGCAGGAGTGAAGTAAATTTCAAAATAAACTGAATGGAGATGGTTGATTTTATTTATATAGGCATATTAAATTTTTCAAAAAGTTTCACCTTCTTTTCTTTTCTCATTGTAATTAGATCTGAATTGCTTAACCAAAAGATTTTATACGTAAGTGCTATACAACTTGAACCTTTTATAGTGTAATGGGGGGAGGGGGAGACAGACTGTTTGATGATTACAAAAACATGAAGAAATTTGCATCTCTCTTTCTTTCATAGAAATGGAAAACTGCTGGCCAAAATAATCATTTTTCCTGCCCTTTTGTGGCATTTTTGCATTAATGAGAAATTCCGATGGGCTAATCTTTAGTAAGAATTCATTTCACATCCTGCACTGCAAGAATTCCTTTTCAAAGGGGCAGATGAAAAACTTGACAGTGCACGCACTCCAGAATACAAATAGCAAAGAGGTTTGAAATAGCACTCTCTACACTGAAAGGAAAACTTTTGGGGCAATAATTCTACCAGCTCTTATAACTGCAGTAAAACCACTTCAATGAGCCAAATAGTGAAAACTGCCTAATTTTGTTCTGTTTTAGCTGAATTGTTCAATAAAATTTAAGAGCCTCTGCAGACAAGCTGTGCCAGGCCAAATTATTGACAGAAACAGACAGTCCACCATGGCAACAAGTGGAAATCTATAGCAAAAATGTAAACAAACAACTTCTTCTCCAGCAGCATCTGCCAACTGAGTCTTACAGCCAGAATTGTTACAGCTTCTCTAGGTTAAAAGTGCTGCATCTATTTTGTGTCTATTTTGCTTCTCTCTACCAAAGGGAGAAAAAATAGCAAACCAAATGCCAATTGAAAACCACATTAGTTTCATATATTTCTTCAGTTTTATTGTAGCACCAGAAACAGAATGCATTTCTACCACTCTATTTGTAATAATTAAACCAAAGAACAGTCAATCATTTAAAACTGTTTCTAATTCCAAATAGCATAAACATACAGTTGAAAGGGACACTTTTTCCTCCAATACAAATGGATTGAAAGAAGAATATTCTGAGCATGTGCAAAGTGTTTTCCCAAACCTAATATCCAAATCTAGGGCAAATCTTCTATATATGAATTGTAGATTCTAAATACACTGGAGCATTAACATCTCTCATTTTTCAAGCTATGCTTGTAATAGCAAAATATACCAGGACAATATCTCACCTCTACAGAACTCTCCATTGTATGTCTTGATTGTACGCAATGATATAAACAGAATCAAAGATATAATTTATTTAGCCATATTTATACCCAAAACTTTTAGCATATCAAAACATATTATAAATATTCATGTTGATCAGCTCACTTTGAAATCTAGAAAAACACATACACACAAATAATGGGTATGTCCATGTGTTAAAACTTAGTTCAGTGAACTGTTATCTTCTTTTCAGTGACTATAAGAAAACTTATTCCAAACGATAAATAAAATACCATTTTAAATTTTAAAAAGTATCTTCAAATGTTTGATTGAAAGAGAAAAATATTATTAGGATGCTTCAAAAAATTTAAATTTTAGATTCATTTGTCTTTATTGATTTACTATGTTGTAAGCAATTAAGGAGAATCTGTTAGTTGTGATTCTTGTGAGAGACTCAAAATATTAAAGTCAGGCAAGGTACTTACAACTCAATCGAAAGTCTCTTTCCTTGATTTCTGCAAGCTCTTCTCCTGACTGAAATTCTCTAGTTAGTGCTTTCGTAGCTCTCTCACTTTCTGCCTCCAGTCGTCGTCCCCCATCTCTCTCTCTCTCTCTCTCTCTCTCTCCCTCCCTCCCTCCCTCCCTCCCTCCCTCCCTCCTTCTCTCACATAGACTGTGCTTCTCCCATTAGAGGAATTAAAATTGGTTGGTGCCATGCTAAATTTAACAAGCTCATTAGTATTCTTCCAGTATGTTTGGTAGTGAACTCTCCCTATTCAAGCAGCTCTCTCAAGCTGAGGGGTCAGGCGGCTAATCATTAAATCAAACTAATGTCACCCTATCACAATCGGCTAAGAGAAGGAGAGTTTATTATTTCAGTTTATGCTAAATAAACGGTTTTACTAATGGTGTTCAAGCAAGGTCAACAGCATCTTCAATTAGAAGGCAAACTTAACATGAGTTGTTCTAAACCAAAGTGCTCTGTATTGACTTAAGCTGTGCTCTGCAGATTGCCACCGGCAGGCTTATACAGGAATGCATATTGTACATTTCTCCTTCGTTGTCATCTTCTTTTTAAGCAAAGGGTAATCTTTTCTTTGCCAGAATTGGTGACTTGCGTAGAGATTGCTCATTCACCTCTCCCAACGAGCAAGCTGCTCAGCTCAATTCACCCCACACAAAGGCTGAAGACCAGACCTCAATGGACCGAGTGAAACATGTTCAAAACTAGGCTCTCTATTGTGACTGAAATTCTTAACATCTTTTCAAAAAGCGGAGAATGCCTTGAGGCTAAAGGAAGAAACAGGCTAATGGTGAATTGGGAATACTGAACAAATTTCAGAGCCCCTTCCTCCTAGCTTTTGAGGTTGAAAGCAAGCTCTATCCTTTCATGTTTCAAAGTCCTTTTTCCTCCCGCAGTGTCACAGAAGGATTTGAAAAGAAGGTAATTGTGCTCACAGTCTCCCTGATCAGAGCTTACGTCCTATTTCTAGTATTTTGGAATACTTCTTGCAATAATGGTGCATATAGCGCAATCCCTTAACCAGCCTGCAGTCAGCAATTGCTCATTAAATGAACAATTGCTGGTATAAAATGCCCTTTATGTTCAA